AAAAAAAAAAAAGGCGCGCACAATCACGATTCACAAACTTTTGATATAAAGTTGAAACCTTGCATTTCGTCAAACTTGATCAGTAGACATATCGCAAGCTCAAAGGCGACAAAGATTTAATGGAGATAAACAAAGATCTAAATTAGAAAGAAAATTTTAAGGTGCGTACTTTGCAGCTGAAGCGGACTCTTCCTCTAGCCAGCTGCGTATGTGGCGGACGTTGCGGCGGAAGATGGTGGCGGACTGCTTCACGTCGCTTCTCATTAGCAGCACCACCGCGCTTACTCCGACGACGGTCAGTATGAAATTCGTCAGCGCCATTTCCAGTATCAATTAATTTCAGTTCCTCTTGATGATTTGATCGCTAAATGCTCGAATTAGTTTTGTGAATCGAATCTCGTGAAGAAAATCAAATCGATTTGTATGTTTAACACAGACGAGGAAGAAGATTCTTTCTTACAGGAGGAGATTAGGGATGGGCCAGAACACAACTCTTGTACCGCAGGGCCCATTTGTAATGGACTAAATAGGATTTAATGGGCCTAATTGGAGGCCTGTATCGATACTTTTCATTTGCTGCGTTTTTGCGGTCTCTTGTCCCTGCAGGAGGTCACACGAGTGTAGTTTAAATTTTGCATAGTTCACAAACTTAAACGTTTAACAAAGAGTTTAGATTATATTTTTCGACCCTTTTTCACCACAAATTCACACAGTTGTGTTTGATTCAATAAAAAATTGTACATTCTTTCAATATTTGTGATACAGGGGCATGCAAAAATGTTAACCTTGTACCGAAATTAATATTTTATATACTAAATTTATTTATTTTATGACATGTATCAAAACTTTATTTGCGAATAATTCTGATTCTGATAGGTTTTGTGTGTTAAGCCGCTCTTACCATTAAACCGACATACTCGTTTTTTGTATAAATGTACATGTTTTTTGGTAGAATGTCTTATTTTAAAAACAAATATAAACATTGATATTTGGTTCTATAAGTTATGAGATTTTGTGATTTGCATTTTATTAACAGCGAAAAAATGAATCCGAACAGAACAGAATGGGCTGCTGCAAACCTTATCCATTTTTCTCGTTTATCGCACTCGGCCTCACCAATCTTTACCCCCTACCCGCGTCATAATAATCCTCAGTAACGAACAAAGGCCAAAAAAAAAAAGAAAACCAAAACACAGAGAGTGCTTTTAAATTTAATTATTCAGTCATAAAGGGGGAGAAAATGAGAGAAGAAGATGAGCAAATGAGGGTGCTCCAACAGCTCTGCGCGATGATCATCCACGTCCTCCGCTTGCCGCCGCTGCCGATCTCGTTCCCCGGCTTCTTTCTACTGTCATCGCAGCCGTCCTCCTCCTCGCCGCCGCCGCCGCCCCAGATTTCTCCGGCGGCTTTCGGCTTGCTTTTCACCGGGATCTCGGTCGCTTTGATGCTGTTTGGATTGGTTACTTTTATCATCGGATTCGTTATGATGCCGCTGGTGATAACGTTGGTGATGCTGTTTTACTTCGCCGGATTCGTTTCCGTTTTGTCCGAAATTGGCCGAGCTATTCTCTGGCGGCCTCCTCATTCCAGTGACTTTGCCCCAGGTAAGTAGGTAACAAAACAAAATAATTACAATAGAACAGCAATTGCTCTTTGATTTTCGTGATTATCAAGCAGGCCAGATGTTTGATGAAATGCGTATAAGTCCCGCCGTGCGTGTGTCTGTGTGTGTGTGTGTGTTTCCTTTTGCAGTATGGAATTATTCAAGGTGAGGAGCCCAGTGAAGGTAAAAGGGAAATCAGAGCTTGATTCTGTTCATAAATTGAAGCAGTTACCCTTTCCCTCTGGCTTCAGTTGGTTGATTAATGAGTGTCGAGGTCTAAGTTCTAACACATCTATTTTGATTATGTTGTTGACTATAATTTCTCTTTCAAGAGAGGTGTATTTCATGCAAAATCCAGTGAAAATTTCATGTTTGTAACGTTATGTAGCTTATTCCATATTTATGCAGCCATCTCCAGTATTATTTGATTTGTATTTTTTTTTTTTTTTTTGAATTATAGTGGGGTAATATTTTTTTGTGAATTGTGATTGATTAAAAATGGAAACCTCATTTTGATACAATTATAAGTTTTATTTTATCATTGGGGTCCGGCTGACAAGATTAGTCCGGCTGCCGTCTCTGAAACTAGACCACACAGTCCGCTGTTGGAGTCGTGGGCCAATCAGCTTTTGCTTGGCCCAATTTACAACAGTAGTACTACCGTGGGGCACATCTTACACGCGCCCTTCACCCCCAAAACTAGAAAATTAAGAGAGCACAGTGCACATTCCTATTTTTCTTTTTTTAATTAAAAAATAAGACATATTATATAAATTAAAATACCATTAATTATTTATATTAAAAAATAAAATAAAAATACTAAAATTCATAATTTTTCATTATCTATAAATAGAGACCATATTTGATAGATTTTTGAACACAACTAATTTTTCGTTTTTTCGTAATTATTTTATTATACTGACATATAATGAACAAGTTACATAATAAGATTAATATGTTCAAATAAGATGAACATGTTACTGATTGCATATTGAAAATAATACATATTCATCTTATTTTATAACATGTTCATCTTATTCTATAACA